CTCAGTTCTTGTTGGTCTCCGAAACTTTTATTTAAAAAATCTGCACAGGAATAGCGTATAATCTGAATGAATGTGAATAACCGAGAAGTGCCGGCAGTCGAGATTGGTGTCGCCATCAGCAAGTCATGGCTTTACGATCGATTCAGCCGCAGAGTTGTTCGTCAGTAACAGGACACAAAGTAGAGCTATACTGTTTTATGAGGAACAATAGCTGACCATTGGAATAGCTTAAAAGATTACCACCACTATCACTGTTTCTCTACTAAGCCCCAGAGTCCCGCCTCTGATGTGTATAGATGCCTTACTTGTGCACTGAGATTCCCTTCGGCTAGAACAATGTCTGAACTCCTCTCACCGTATAGGAGAGGTTTAGGCTTCCAATAAAAGTTGACCTTAGCAGAATCAGAGCTACAGTTGTTTGGGTACATGTAGAAATTACAGGAACGGATACTCATCAGGATGACGAGGGTTCTTGTGGAAGTTGGCAGGCGAAAGGCACCAATTCGGCCGTTTACGGGGATCCACTCTTAGAGGGAAGCCTCAGTTCGTGAGCTAAGAGCTATACCAACACGGGCGGAGCTCGTTGCAGCAGCCACAGAATCGTTTGAACTCCCTAGGTGACGGCATCTAGACAACGGAGATGTTTTAACATCGACTACAGTACTCGTAACTTATATTCGAATTTCGGAAGCGTAACAAATGTTTGACGATAGTGTCAAAATTGTACATTGTAACTGCTCATTAGTTGGGTTTTAAGAATTCACACATTAAACTGTGCGATAAGAAATGGGGAACGAGGTCGGAAAAACGCATTAAGTCACTCACTTCTTTGGATGTGTGAGTGACGTGTCTATGGCTGGGATCTGCCGAAGAGTTATCGTTGAATGGGATGGGACGGAGTTACAGACAAGAATGTGGAATACGGAAGGCGTCAGCAGTAGCCTGTTTTCGTCTACCCGCTCTGCTGTACGCAGGAAGTGAAGCAACCCGGCCGACGTCATGACAAGGCGGCTAATGTCGCATGAGCTTAGCGGTACTTAATTGTTGTATGCAGGCTGAGATACTGCCTGGGCGTCCTAAGTAAACAGCAGGACTGTCGTGTTCTCCTTTTGACTAATTCATTTTGATATTCACACTTACCGTCCCATACACTTCGCTGTTACCCACATAGTGTGTGTAGATTGTGGTCACACGCTGACCTAACACCTAGTCAAACTCATCCGGCACCCAATTGCTTGAAACCCCTTTTTGACCCCAGTTTCGGTTCCAGTTGGGTTGACCAATTTTGTGTCCAGCACTCTGACTAGACATAAAAGAAGCAACAATAGCTTACATGGCCTTCACACAGACTAATGAGTAATTTAAGGCCATACCAGTGTCTATTGGTTTCTGGTAGTTTTTAATCCCCCACCACTCTTATGTGTCGTACAGTCAAAATAGTAGTGTATCTGAATAACTCCACCTCCATCCTGAACTTGATGTGATGATTAACACTTGAGATTTGCGGGGTTTTAGCCTTGTTACGCCTGGTCACACATGTTGTTGGCATAACGTCAACCATATCCGATGAGACCGTCCGTTCGAAATCCTCCAAACATATATTCACCAAAACCGGGAATATTGAAATCTTGCTGGGCCTTGTTCTTGCGAGTAAAAAAATTAGTGAAAGAAAAGTGACGAACTAATCTTAGTTACTTTCAAACCATCCGTCTCTGAGGGCGTACATCGAGTTGAGGTCAAAGCTCAGAACCCCTTGTTTCCTAAAGACTTCGACCTATCTTGTGGATTTTCGGCAGCCCGTTGAATCCGATAGACATACCAACCAACTCTACCCTTACTCCAAATAATTACTGAATTAACAGTGTCACTTTTAATTTGTCAGTAAGGGCCATTGGCCACCCCGCCTTCATTAACCACCTGTTCCAACGTACTCAACGCTCTCCATCTTGATTGTACCTATACAGAGCTCTTCGTTTTTTGTTATACTCGTAGCTCCTCCACTTCCACTGAAGAAAATTTCAGAAGCACAGACTCAACACCGAGGATTATTCCGTCCATCCTCATTGCTTTTTAGCTTACTGCAAAATTTAGTTCCTTTTCAAAAAGACAGAACTCTCGTTCACTCAGTGGTCTAATTGGCTAGTTTAGTTAACTAGGCTGCAGAAACCGCTATATGGTGCCCTTTTCTGTGACCTTACTAGGACTCGAGTAATGCAAGGCGACTGTTTGAGCTAACCTATCAACCCTTGCGTTGCCGAACTAGGATGAGTTCGGTGATTACCATGTTGTGTAATAAGTCTACAGATGATTTTTCAAACTTTTTCCAGCCTGTGCAACAAATATGATAGTGAACTCGGGAGATCAAAGACATTGGGGGTGAATATCCCTGCTAACAATGTTATTGAGCAGTACTCTCCTTCTCTCCACATCAACCTGAGAAAGCACACTCGGTCGTTGTAAATGTGGTCGTACAAGTGAGTGGAGGATACCTGAAATATACTGACGTTATATTAGCACCCAAACGAATTTTACAGCTGTGCACATCATCATCGTATGCAGTTCATTGAGCCTGGCTACTGTCCGCCTCTCAAAATAAGACCTACGGTACCGTTTCTCGCGTTGGGTAGAAACTATGAATTAAGTGGCGGGTGGCCGACACTAGTGGCGCTTATGTTGTCGGTTCTTACGTCGACCACCTGACTGAAGGAGGTGTAGGTACTTCGAGTGTGTGATAAGATGACTCTTCTCTATCCCATCCTCCTTCATTTCAACCTAGACTTTCACTTTTATATGATTGTACGGCAGTGAAGCAACATTGTTCGTCGCTGTTAATGGTGCCAACGATTGAGTGTCGGTGTGTCAGTAAACAACCCCCTCGTTGAAAAGTTTCATAGAACGAAGTCTCGTTCCCCACGGATCAGCATTCGATTTGATAAGGGCGATATAAACCAGGAATGAAATTTTATGGAGCATAGTTGATTAGTATTACTCGTCAGGTATCGAAAGTAATGTACTGTTCCATGTACAACGGATGAATCATATGCGCAAGGCATTTAGGCGGAGTAGCTAGATAATCTGAGATATGGGATGCGAAACACACATTGTGAAACTTGTACAGCTTGGGAACCAATAGTACCCCATCTCTTTAACGCCCTCTTCAAAGTATGATCCAATATGACGGGATCCTATATATTCAGCAGCCAATGCAAAGGAAATCCTTACAGCATCTGTAACGCCAGGTGAAATGTGGATTATGGAAGTGGTTGCTAGGAAGAGAGACGGATAATTTCCTGAAGTACTAATGACTTTTAATAAGAAAAAGCGCTGGTGGCAAAATGTGACCGATCAACTTCAACAGCCACTTTGTAAGCTTTCGAGCAGCACCTCAGACAACAAGGGGTGACGTTGTAAGGGCAGTGTTCAAATAGATCACAGCAATAGAGATTGTATGGACATATTTTGTACACTATCAACTCGCATGACAGGTGTAACCTCACCGAACCCCGCGCATGCTGATCGTTTTTGGCAGTGCTCGAATAGGCAGTGTACCTCCTATCTATTACCGCCTCAACACAGGACAGAGGACGAAATCGATGAATGGAACTCGTTGCTAGTAGACCAGGTGGGTTGGTATTAGGTTACGTATATTGGCACTAAACTTTATGTTTAGTATTACCCACATTCCTCGGTTTGAGCAGTTCATACATACTATTTTGAACAAGCCGCATGGGCGTTGAACGACCATGAGATAGGACTGTCAGGATGCTATATCCGAACGGCCATCAATCCTCGGGGAGGATGCGACTATTAATGGGTTAACTAATAACAAATTAAATTGAACTTTTCGAAGGAACTTAGTCTGATTAAGTCAAAAGCTGGTTCCGATCCATAATCAACTGGCGGACAAACATAGAGTTTACGGAGCAAGAGCATGAGTCAGTCGTCCGATCCTTCTACACAGACATGATGAGTCGCTCTCGAGCCCCTGATTTCCTTCGGATAGGCCACATGCATGATAACACCTTAGTTAGTTAATAAGAGAGTATTCATTTTCTGTCTTACAACCTGGACGGTCTTAGAGTCTGCATTTTACTTCTAATGTACCCAAATAGAAAGCGCGTGCAAGAAGACCAACAAAATACGATAGGCTCTGACCAACCAGAGGCGTCAGAAAATTTTCGATAAAAAGGTCACCGATGTGTAGAACCAGTTACGTGGGGGATCCCCACAGCTCAATAACTGGGGCACCCAATTTCAGAGATTACAAGTGCAGTCAATAGCGACGTCGGTCATCTCAAAGATACGATACAGACGTGAATCAGCTCCAAGATAGTACAAACCTGTCAAACACATGGCAATAAATCGAAATACTGGCAGCTCGGGTGCGTTAATTGCTTATAGATCAGGTGGCTATTGATCCGTTCACGGAGCTTGGCAATTCGCTTGTACACATTTAGCCACACCCAGCAACGCACTGATGATGTTCCCATTACTGATGGCGAATTGACTATAAGTAAAGCGCCAAATTTGGAGGGATGACCAACCGTCATTTGGCCACAACATGCCAGCTCACCTATTTTAATCGGCCGTAGTGTCTGGAAGGCACATGCTACCTTCAGTTTCTCTGTCGAAGTTTAGTTCGTTCCTTCGCTACAGAACTGTGTCCAAAAGATTGGTGTTGTTGAACTGTCACGAAAAAATGGTGCAATCTTGTGTACTCGCACACGACTCCCATTGTACTGCTATGTGGGACCCTTCTGAATGATTACTAGGATAAACTGCACTCAAATGCAGTGTGTGAGGGATTCTGAGTCCAAAATATTGGACATAGCTCCGGGTACCCAGCTGGTGAATGAAATTAAGTGGAAAATGAACAGGTGTGCAGTGATCCAATGGTTGCAAGAACGTTTCTACAGTCTAGGCGTTAAACTAATACCTCAGTTTCCCATCCACCCCCCAGTACATATGGATAGATAACTAAACTCAACGTGCGTCAGCTACAAATCTTGCTAGAAATTCACAAGTGGCGCAAAAACTGGGATGAACGTCACAACCAAACGACGTAATATGAAAGATAAATAAGTAGTCTGAAAATAAACTCAAAGGTCGTCGTAGAAACGGAGGTTCATAGGCACACTAAGAAAGGATACCCGTAGCTACCCGCGTTACAGCGGGGGCCAATCGCTTTCGTTGGCAGCTGTGATAAGTCCAGTTGCTTGGGTCTGATTACTTGCAGGTTGTTGCTCCCAGCGGCCAGCGTATTGTGCATGAATTTGAGATGACGTTGCTTGACTTTGCAACAAAGAAGGTAGATGATTTGTTGCTTGAGGTTGTGGTTGAGCATTAACGGGCTGTTTGAAATGTTGGGTTGGGGCCCATAAACTGGTGGGACGCTGGACATTCGGTTGCGATGACTGCACGGGTCCACGAGCTCCAGCGGCTATCTGGGATATACCCGAATTCATGGAAGCCTTTAATAGTTGTCTCAAATCACTCATGGTCCATCCCCGCGATTTCTCCAGAGCAGGTGGCTCTATGCCTACCGGTTTCTTGGGTACACTGAACGGATTATGCAATCGGCCGGCTAAGGTAAGATGACCAAAGTATTCTCTCAGCAGGAATAATGTTTGATCCGATTTGTTCAGCGTCAAACTCAGGTAGATTCTGAGCAGAATCGCAGGTAAAGGTAACACAGAGGAGCATAGTGAGACTAAGGGTGACTGGGTTGAGGAAGTCCATTTATGACCATTAAGGTCTTCCACCGGAAGTGACAATCCAGACAGCGATAAGTGCAAAATGTGTTCAGCCAGTGTCCACTGTTTGTCCACAGCCAAAGTAGCCGCCAGATTATACAACAGTAGTGCAGTAGACTAGAAAATGAAACGCAACGGAAAGTAATTACAATCACAGTCCACCTCCCATCAAACACAGCTATCGTTGAGACCAAAAGATTTTAACTCGGTATAGTCTAGCGGAAGATGGTCAGGGGCTCAAGTGACCAAGTTTCCAGCTAAGGAACTCGTACTTTAACGTGACTGTTTTCCTCGGAATTCACCAGATGAGTTCCCACTCTGTTGTTTCGTATTGCACGTAACCTAGTAACAAGTTAGAGTTGAGTTGTCGACTACGGCATTAACTATGGGTGAATCAGATTAGCATGACTAAGTTAAAGAAAACATGGAGGGCGCGCGTTCGAAGGACAAGCATGGGTACCTCAAATATTCATTACGGACGGAAGTGGAGACGAGTAGCTCATTTGACGGCAACTGAACTGGACAAACCAATTTGAGGTGAGAAGCTAACGTGGAAAGACTACACAGATCATTTGTGCTGGTTGGAAACTACCACAGACGTGCTTTTCAAGGTGAACCTAAACGGAAAACTTCTACGCGGAGTCAGAAATCAACCTGAGTCTGAGTTTGGTGCTCAGTGGCTCAGTTGAATTACAAACTATTTTGGCACATAAGACTGCCAAGCGTTCTCAGTGTATGCTGTTTGAGAAATAGAGTTCCACGATACAGTGTGCACTTCTGTCAGTAAAAGAAAGGGTTCACTACCTACCTGCACTCCAGTGCGGGGAAAGTCGGGCGAATAGATGGTCAAGTGGCCAGGAGAAGCTTCATCAGAATGTTGACTCCGTATCTTCGTGCCATATCCCTGACTGAAGTGCTCCAGTTGATGTTCTGGATCGTTCTGGTTCGTGCAAGGTTGGAGACTGTCTGAGTCCAGACTTATGGAGGAGGAGTAGATCGCTGGCAGCTGATTTTCAGACAAAACAGAATCCGGAATCCGGAACCTTAACAGGAGCGTGGCTTCGGATACTCTAGAAAATAGTGAGAAAAACAAGAACGATAGATGGATTGGAAGGGTTTTCGTTCGTCGAAATTAAATTTAAAACTGAGAAACTATGATTAAGCGTTTCTGAGTAGTCGCACTATTTGCGTATTTTCTATCTACACCACTCTTGTTTGAACAACCCGATTGTTTTCGCGCGATTATTCCGTTTAGCTCATCAGTTTTCGAGTGTCCATAGTACTATCTAGTTGCTAACTGGGAATTCATGTCACTCGATCGGGTCACTCGATCAGGACAGTGGCTGGAGGGTTGTTTGAGGCATCGGGATCAATGTGGGGACAGATACATTCGTTCAGACGTAACAATTCAGGCAACATGCCCCCTTCGAATGCCCGCGGTTCGGAGTTCAAGTTCCAGCATATCTAAGCATATGAACTATTGCAGCGCAGAACTCGAGTCTAGTGCTCCCCCATTTAGCATGGAAAATAAAATTTTAAAAAAACGTTCAGCTGTAATACCCTTCTGGTGCCTAGCTGCCATGACACTCGAAGAAGCCTCGACACTCGAAGAAACTCGAGGGCTGGGATACTACCAGATTGCCAAAGGGGAACCACGAACCTTCCGGTCAGTAAATTAGCGCTGTAATCACCTGAGCCATATCGTCCCCAATTAAGCGTGGACTGGAGAACAAGAGGAGGGTCATCTGAACATGGGCTATGTGGACAGAGTTTTATATGAGTACTAAATTTTTGGCTGCGCTAAGGGCTGGGGCGGGTCCTACGGATCTCAAACGTTTAAAAGGCGATACGCCAACAATTGGTTTTGAAGCTGTTATAAGGTATACGACTAATGATTGCTAAAGACCAAGGGATACAGAGAACGTAGAAACCGTACACAACTACACACAACCACACACTTCCCAGGTATGGGAAGTATAAAATGAGAAAGGTTATTCTCCATTGGGACTCCCCGAAATTGGACGTCTGAGTCTCTGCTCCTGCTTTGCTGATTGCAAACGCAACGGCTCTCAACCATACGCCGGGTAATACTTACCTGCCTAGTTACAACTACACGAACGTTAACTCAGACTATTGGCAACGAAATTTGCATTTTGCAAGTTAAGAAACTACGCCCTCTTCTAAGGAGATACGATTAGGGTTATGACCCATAACAAATAAAATGTTGTGGGACCGACTGACCCTTTTATATGAGACAGCCCAAATAAGACACGCTCGAGGGGCCCGTGTGTGCAGGCACCAGGTAGCAGGGAAGAGGACAAAAAGAAATGGAAGGGAAGTTCTCACTGGCCTGTTCGGTTACCGTCTCTCTGTACCCACTTAAAAACTGGTCAGATTTGCCTCTGGAGCTTAACAGATTTCAGTTTATTCGAAAATATCGAAATTACACAGCATACTGATAGTCTTCAGATTCCATTTGAGCGATGCTGTGCGCTGTTTTGAGATTCAGCTCAGGCCCAAGTATAGCAACGCTGGTTACAGGTGGGGTAGCTGGACAAATCGTTATTAGATAGAGTAGTTTGGCCTAAGACGTCAGAAGACGTAGTAGAAACACCCAAAAACAAGAGTTGGCGACAGGTCAAGTTTTCTTCATCATGAAACATGGATTACAATAGCGATTGGTTAATCCCGACGTTCCTTAGGCCGAAGCTGGTGAGAAAAGGTGACTGAATATGGCACTTTTCGGCGGTGTGTCCTCCTTCAGGCTTCAAACTTCTAGTCAGACCTACTGCAGTGTTTTACCTCTATATGCTTGATTTGCAAGCTTATACATACGCACTTTAACGGAAAAGGCATTTGAATTTCGTACTACCAAATAGTGGTCACCCACGCGAATCGAATAGCTCCACTAAGCTTGGTGGCATCCATTCGTGAGAAGATGCACTCTAAGTTGAGCGCTACTGACTCCGTCACACGACTGAATCGAACATTAAATCCTGCCAAAGTCAAGGTCAAATCAGGTTTCAAGCTGCACACGAGAGCAGATGTCTTACTATAGGCAGCCTCTGGTCATCTGGTCAAACGACTCATCAACAAATGTTGAATTTCGATACGATACGATACAGCTAGGCTGGAGTAATGAAAAAGCTAGTCAGGTAGAGGAACGCCTCCAGGTTACAGAAACCAAAAAGATGATTGGATAGATCGATTTTGAGAGTGCGTAAGTTCAAAAGCCCAAATCACTTACCGATCCAAGCTAACGAGAGCTTCTGCCAGATACAATCGAGCCAAAAATCGATAAGCCGGTGGCGCCACCCACGTCAAGTGAATCGCATTAGAGGTACTGTAATCAGTTTGTGTTCCAGCTCCGTCATTGGGTTCTGCCGGATTGGATGTGATACACTGAGTGTCCTCGAGTAAGGCCCGAGCACTAGGCAAAACGTCAACTGGGTTATTCAGGCAGAGTGCAGTGTATGCAATTCCCAAATGAACTGCCGTCATCAAATGCAGCAGTCCGAGGCCTCGGAGAGGAACTGGCGACGGAAGAACCGCAACAGTCTGTAACGAAAAGCAGGGGACGGGTATCAGTCTTGACAATGTGAGAAAAACCCGACGATTAAAAAAAAAAAAAAACCCGACGATTAAAATTTAAAAAAAAATAGGTGCATGATCTCCCGACCCGAAGGATAATTAACACAGGATGGTACTAGGGACCGAAATATCCAATTCTGGCGAAGCTTTATCTGTTAAAGTATATACTTTTCCTGTGGTTCGTGAATCGGTGTTCTGTTACATGTCATGCACTGTGCCACCTTTCTTTGAGTTGTCTGAGCGATCATCCCCAGACTTATCTTTAAATGCACTATTTAGGATAAGCAGTAAATTTCAGTTCCTTGATAAAACACGAGTAGTACAACGTTGGTCGACTGTCACATTCCCTGTAGTCGGATGCAATCCCACAAAGGGAAGATTAGCCCTCATTTCCTAGCCATGTATGCCAATGGAATAGCATTGGTTCGTTGAAGCCAGTCGTATGAACTCAAATATCCAGACGGTTTTAAAACCAATCATTGTCATGTGCAACAAGTATCCTCAAAGAGATCAGAAGGAACTGGATACCCAGTGTAGCTGGTACCTGGTCTCGTATGCATTTCGTCGCACATGTGACTGTGCATCGGGCAAATTAATCTGGAAAGGTTTGCTAAACAACTAGTTGATTTCTCTATCCACAGAATGTCTCTAGAACCCATAACCAGCAACATCGGATAACGCCAAAACATTCATCTGTGCGCCGAAAAGGCGAAGCTGGTGAATTCTTAGTGTGTACTGAGGGCGGTCTTGACCGGTCCGCGGTCCGAGTTGAGGGGCCGACTAGATTTCAATATGCGATATTTCGTGAGCTCTACCGAGGTGATCTGTCGGGCTACACACCCACGTGTGAATTCTATAATAACTTTATTGTTAAGTGACCAAGTACTAACACACACTGTTCCTAAATCAGATCAGCATAACAAGACGTAGAAATTTCACAAATTATTGTAGACTTTTGAGTTAACTAGACGGAGGCTTTGCTTTAAGGGGCTTTTGAGAATACGAACGTGCTGATGATCAAGTTACACAGCCGAATTCGCTGGCATGCCTTTATCGAAATACATTGCATGGAAAGTTATAGAATCATTTTAGAGGATTTTGGAGGCGTTAGTGTTGTTTTGCCCCATTGCAAGCTCACATTTATAGTACTGCTATCAAAAGATATCTTTAGAGCTTCGGATTTTCGTAGAAAAGAATCCCATACTACACATGAACTTTATAGTTATGACAAAAGTTTATTCCCGCGAAGAGCATCGGTAATCTTTTGCGATGGTAAAATTAGGAGCTCCTCCTTTACCTGGTGCGCTATCACTCAAAGTTGGTTCTACGCCGGGGACATGACTGGAAATGCATGTCATTTGTGCATCAGCGTAAATTATCGCAAGTTATTTTGGCCCAAACTACCGAGTGAATGAATACATTTATGTACCATACCTGACTGTATATCATAGTTTCCTGGCGCACATGCTTTCAATACGTTTGTCATACTTTACCTTGGCATCATAAGTTGATTGAAGCATATTCAGAGCATGTGCGAAGCAACATTGTGCTTCACCGTTAAATTCGGCACACTGGTACGACTGCTCTTTTCGTCCGTACGGTTGGTGTCCGAAAGTAGCAGTAGCACAATCAAAATCAATGGCAATGGCAAAATCAATGCAAGTCCGGAACTGATTCAAGTGAGTGTTCACGTTGCTCGTCAGGCCCGTTGAAAGTGGCGCCCGAGCAGGGGACTGTTGGAGGAATAAACCGTGGAACCTCGGGTCAATGCACGGCAGGATTAAAAATGGCCCAATCTACCACAAACTTCTCATGTTACTATGGATCGAATTGGATAAGATGCTTGTTTACATGCCTGCTACGTGGGTTACGTGTCACTTCCACGTTCGAAAGTTCATTAGGGAACATGTAGATCATCAACACATGTCTCATACTACATAATTTCACTAGTAATCGGCAGTCTGCCGGTCAGCACACACAGAATATCGTTTTGAAGGATATTTATTCCCAGCTGCATGTGTTTTACATTATCTTACATTCCTATTTCAGGACCGCTTCCCGCTCGTACAAGCATGCGTAAACTCAGAAAACTGGTTTCCGTCCCTACGGTCACAGTAGGTTCGCATTCATTGTCCCAGCGGTCCAGTTCAGTTGTACGCAGGAAGTGAAGAAGTTTGTGATAGATTGGACCGTTTTTAATCCTGCTACTCATTAACACGAGATTTCGAGGTTTCATCCCCGCTCGGGCGTCACTTTCAACGGGCCTGGTGAGCAACGTAAACACTAACTTGAATCAGTCCCGGACTTGCGCTGATTTTGCCAATATGTTAGTGCTACTTTCGGACACCAACCGTACGGAAGAAAAGAGCAGTCGTACCAGTGGGCCGAATTCAACGGTGAACTGCGAGTAGGTTGTCACAACTTGAGGTGCTGTGTCGAGAATGAAAATATACTGAACTTGGTCGACACAGTGTGATGTGGCAAAGCGATCGTTGCTAATGAGCATTTTGGAACTGAGAGGTAATTTTTTGTGGTGGGCTCAGCAAAACATGTCTTAGACAAACCAGCTCCGTGATCTAGCTCATTCGACATAGTAACACTGACCACGAGGATCATGGTTGTACGCGTCAAGACCCTTAATGTTGAATGGATGTATTTGGCAGCACAATAAGCCCCTTGGTAATGAGCACGTCCAAACAAGAACTTAGAAATTAGTCACCTTTGTATGACCCTCTGTTACTCGGCCTCGAGAAAAGCTGCTTTAGAAAGTACAGCACCGAAAAAATTATTGGATATCCTTTCAAGCTCACATATGCGGTACAACAATAGTAACTCACTTGGCTTTCTGACCACTTCAGTAACCTTGTCTGCTGATCGTCATACGCGCTTTTGTCGGTCTGACTACTGAGAAACAGTTCTGTCGGCGGGCGAGGAAGTAAAAGCAATGCATTTCGAAGGCAGAACGAACCAAACTCCAGGGTCGGAGAGGGCATAGATGCCGTTTCTATCCATGGTTTTGAAGGCTGTTCGGTGGAAGACAAAGCAATAAAAGTAGGTAATGAAGAAAGAGCAGGATCGAGGCTATAATAGAGTCATAGAACTAGCCCTGTTGGCGCACCTAATAATACTGACGAAAAGTATACACAGGCACACTAGTTAGTCTTAAGTGTGTAAGCTAAAACAAAATAACATCGTTGTCGGTGGCTGAGATACTACCAGGCTGTCCATATCTGTAGAAAAGGAACTGAAATCAGAGGGAACTCACACCACACACCAATTGCTCAGGAACTGATGTGTTAACATATAAACTAGCTATAGTTCAACATAGTCCTAAATAGTTCTAAATGGTGTTTCGTGATAAAAGAAATAATGTGAATAGTGTGTCCCGTCGAGAAGAGAATGTGAGGGTACCACCAAAGTGTATCATTTAAACGAGATTTCTCGATCCACGGCAGTGGCTCAACCAACTCAACAGGTAAAACATACGAAAAATCATCTTCAACTACCTCTCGGGTACCAAATGTTAACATGACGTTTCTACAAGGTCCAACCCCGACAGTTTCAAGTATGCAAGACGAGCGTGCTTGGGGCTGCCACCAAGATAGGTTGTCCGGGCTGAAAATAGAGGAACAGTTGTAACATTCATCGTCAAACACTAGACTAGAATAAAGAAATAGGTAGAAAGCAAACCAAACGTAATAAGTACAGTACGTCGATCGACCAGAACCCGTTTCTAGGGTGAAAATCAGGAGTTCTCCACCTACACACAGCAAATCATCACAGTGTATTTTGTTGGAATGCGAAGGAACAAAACAATCAAACAATCTACCCCTTTCTGTAACAAACAGATCCAAGACCGTTTGAATAGGTTTAAAACGTACTGTTTTAGAAACTGAATAACTTCACAGCTATTTCCCCTTGACTGATATAGCCCGTCAGTTTTAATGGTACAGGAAAGTCGACAGTGGAATATGGCAGTGCAGACAAGCAATAGCTTCATATCCATTTTTAGATGATTTTCAATATATCAATGTGAGTGTTACGAGTTTCCCAATGGGTTGTTTTCACTAATATACAGTTGATGAGAGCTTCCTCGATTCAGAAACTGCAGCGAGCCCAGGAAAACACAAGCGCGAGAAAGAGTATTAAAAATGCTGTATGAGGACTACGGAACTGCACTTCTATGTCTTAAGCCCATGAGGTAGCGGTAATCGACCCATAAAGGTCAGCAGCGTGTGAGGGAACTACATAACCTCAAAATAACTAGAGAGTAGAATCAAAAGAAGTCAAGCCACAGAAACCAAAATGTAGACATAATCTGACCCACTGAACGGTTCTCCAGCTGTTCAGGTAGTGCTGAACGTCAAACCTAACACTAGGTCAAACAACCATTCCTCCTATCTACATTCAGCCAAACTCACCAATGTACTTTGATGCAGCATTCTGCGAGGCGATACCACAATCTGGGATTTCGTGGATAACTGTTGATTAGTTGCAAAAGAGTTGAGAATGCAGCTACTGGTTTGCGTGCGAACAGTAGTTGTATGCCAAGATTGTACAGTAATGCGTGATGCTGACTCAAGCTGAACGCACGTAAAGGAATCTGGAGTGAAGAAAAACGGTGTGCGGTGGCAGAACCACTAGTTAACTGCAAAGAAACAGGTATTCCTATTATAAAATCGAGGATTCGGTCAACAAAAGGCAGAAGTTGGTTTAACTTCGAAAGCAAGTCGAATGCCACCCTCAGGAAGACTATCTGACGAATAGTACTCTGACAATGCAACTGCAGTTTATCCAATGTGACCATTGCTTACCCAGTCTACTGCTTAGCTTGTAGGCGACGGCCCCACATAGGCAGAGAACACCAGGTTTGTCAGAATACGTAGCTGAACACACACCAATATATTTTTCGGGGGAAGTAACACAGTTGACTAGAAAAGGACCGAATTTAAGTCGTGAAACTAAATTGCCGATTGCCAGGTACCCCAGGAAACTGGCCACAAGAGACATCCAACAAGACTGTTGTGAACTGGTGAAATCCAATTCAACGCTCACCAGAAAATTTATAAACAGAAGTTGATGGCGCAATGCGCTTTGGGATTGATGTGATAATAGAGAGTTGTCATCTTGGAACCGAAACCAATCTATGCTGGAAAACCAAGAGGAACTGTACAGCTGTTTCATCCTTACAGGGAATAATCAGCAGTATGCACATTACGAAACTCCTGGGAGTTTCGGACCCGATACCTCCTGGCCAGTAGTTTGATGATTCTCGATGAGGAAGAAACAGTTGTACAGTGCTTCTCTCTTCTTTTCAGCATACAGGACGAAATATCAACTGGCAATGAGTTTTGTTTACATTATCCTGATTAGGCGAATCTGTGTTCAGCCACTACCTGTTTGTCCGTTCAGTTCAGTCGCACTCTTGTACATAGGCCACTTGTTTAACGTCTACAGAAAATAAGTCTTCTATTCGTGCTGCTAAAATGGGACATATCTAGGCTAATCTTGTATACACACAGTAATCATGGCTAAAATTCCGGTAATTTTTACTAATTCTAACTGAATTGTCGCACCACTCATGATGCACACTCGGAGAACAAGGTCCGCATGCCACCGGCCAATCGGCAACAAGGCTTGTTTGCACTAAAAACAATGTTTACTCGGTGTTTACTTAACGATCGACCAAACTGGTAATCTAGAAGAAGCTTTTATATCTAAAGTAGGACGTTGCCCAGAAATAAATTCACCAATTATTTTCGAACTTCCCCTGGAACGGTGACCTACATTCTTATCGGCTCCAGGCTTCATCCAGTGGGACTGATGGAATTCAATTGTCCTAATTATACCTCTTAACCTGGAACTTGCTTCCCATAGATCTTATGCCCCCAAGCTGTCTTTCATGACAGCTCAATGAGTAAAATAGCTTCATATTTTCAAATGCACGAACTTTTGGCAATCGAGTTCGGTACACAGTCACGCCAATTTTCTCGGTGTCCACATCAAACCGATTGTACAACAAGCCCACCGCTAAACCCTGGAATCAAAAAACTTCCAACACCGTGTAAATGAACGCAGCTGCGCAGTGTGACCACACTCTACGCGACTTACCAAGTACAAACTATTTGAAATGGACAGTGCATACGAACGTGAAAGTTGAGTGCAGCCAACTTGGCTGATACTGCACAAATTCAACACAAAAAAAAGAAGATTACTAAACTCCTTAAACGGTGCTTTAGCAGTATGTGGTAAACTCGATTTGTTATATAGTAGGGGCATCAAATTTCAATCCAAAGACCCGTTTATCGGAGGCGGGAGGATTCGTTTGTAGGTTCACTTTGGCGCACATAATTCCTCAAAATGGGGAGCACCGACCGAGATCCCACTAATGGTGGCGAAATTCATTATCATCATAATCATGAACACCATGACATTAGTGTTCAACACCGATGCTTCAATGTCGTACAACCATGATTTATTTGAAAGCCTTATTGTAAAGAAAAGAATTAAAGTGGACGGGGAAGGGACTTGGTGCTAACTTACTACAATCATTCTGAGGTGCATACACGTCCAGACATTCACTTAGGAAATCTGAATAGAAACTGAAAACAAGAACGCCACGCTTGGCAGCACATCTTGTAGTGTATCCAACCAGGCGCAGTAAGGCTCCTGCGGTCCTAATCCTGGAAGGCGAGTAGCCCCAACAGCGAACAAGAGTATCGTAATCTTCTTCATACCCCTCTGCCAAGTCAAGAGTTGTCCGCCCCTCTGCTTACGATAATCTGAGTTGGCCAAGGAAAACAGCATTCTCCTCGGCAAACGAGAGTTAGGCGACACATGTCTCAACCAACGCAGCTTCTGGTGCTAGACACATTTCTCAATGGAAGTCCCCGTGGCACAACCGAAAACTCGCTTTCTAAGTGCCCGGTTACGGATTCTTCGTCACCAATCCACACGAGCTTCACAAATTCGAATGTCTCTCCCTGGATTGTTGGTGGCGCGTTTAGTGACTGCATGTCCATGAGCACGACCCTTACACTTTGTGGGTGCAAACTTCATACCAAAGAACGGGATGACTTTGGTCAGTTCATCCAAAAACACCTGCACCTTCTCCTCCTCTTCGAAGACGAGAACGATATCGTCTGGATATTCCAGATCGACAGGGTGTTCGTCACAGGCTTTTTGAACATTGGGACTTTGGAGACATTCCAGTGTTTGTCTCATTGTTTCATCAGTCACGAAATTAAATAGGAATGGAGAGAGTGAGCGCTCCTGACGAACATCGCTTTGTATGCGGAAGCTTTTGCAGAGTTCTCCGTAGACTCTCAAGTCCGGAAGTCTGAGAATACAAAGAGTCTATTCTGTTTACAAACTTCCGAGGCATTTCTTAGTGGGCAAGCATGTCAAGGAGAACAGACAAATCAACCGAAATCCAGAAATAATAAAATAGTGTCGTTTGCACGGATGTCGTTGTTCTAGCAGCTGACGGAGATTTGGTTAACGTATCACCTATCAGGCCAGAATCCCGCTTGCTGCTCGTGCGTCAGTGCTTCGTGTGCCACCATAGCGAAGCGATTGACAACAAATGACATCAAGAATCTCATTACGACTGGGGTCAAGCTGATCCCCATATGATCACGTAATGAGCTCCTTTTTTACAAACTTAGAACTTTTACTGATTCTTCCCTGTTGTTTGAACAGTCTCCTTTTCCTAAGTACTGGCAAGCAGATCAGACATAGGCCGGCTGAGGACTTCATACACTGCTTGAACAACGTCGGTGTGAGGTCATCCGGATGAGAAGCTCGGCGGCGCTTGAGAAAATACATGCAGTCATACATCTCTGAGGCCGTAGGGGATTCCACGTTCACCGTCCAGGGCTCTAGGTCAACTGTAGTCTCCGGATAAGTGGCAGCTAGTGGCCACAAAGTATTTGGCCCAGCGGCCTAGGCGTTCTTCTTATTCAACATGGTCACTCTCTTCTGATTCTTGATGGCCTTGTTCACACGAGATTTCCCGAAACCGATCGTACAGATCAGCTGAAATAATCTTCGAGTAATAAAGCCTTCTTGGACCTCTTCCATTTCCTTGAGTTTTCTGTCCTCCCCCCAGACTTCGCAGTCTGCGCGCATGCTCACTTTCATTTGACATCTGATAATACATGGGACCAAACGATGTTCGGGACTAGTTGGGATATTTTTCCGAGACTTGAATAGTGTCACTGTTCGATCTGATTACCAGCGCTTGAGTGGGCTTGGTAGCGCTGTGCCACAAACAAAACTCCCAGCATTGTGGAGAGAGGTGGTAATCTCGTCCCAGTATGAATTCAAATCTGATGACGGACATTTGGAAGAAAATCCAGAAGACGATTCAGGTAAGTGTGTCTAACATCCAAATCTGCCAGTCTTTCAGTTGCCAAGCCACTTCTCCGCACCTTACGCGGCCCTGGAAAATGAAGGGAGAAGCGAAACCCGACGTGCATGTGGTCGGAATACATGTGTTCCAAAACGACCGGGAGTCAGCTACCGGTCGGCACCATCGGTAACTGATAGTAATGTGATCCATTTGAGTTCGTGGCCGACACACCTTGGAGGACACCATGTGACCAGACGACTTCGGTTATTTCGAAAGTTAGTACTGCATGAAGATAGACTGGGGTCAACACCCAGCTGAAGCAATCGCTCACCACTGTCCGTGTCGAACACGTAACTGAGTCTCAGATACACTAAGCCTATTCCCTTGTGCATTCAGATTTCCGGTATCTGAGCATTTAGCTCGCCGCAGCAGGGAATTCAGGGGGTCGTAAAACTTGTCCTTGATGGTGCCAGAGCAATAGTCAGTTGGGGCGTAAGCAGGTGCGACAAACAGATATCAGTCAACCTCCTGCTAGTGAGAAGAGCCAAACGGGCCGCACAGACAGGGCTATCAACGGGTATCAAGTCAAGCAAAGATCCATCCGCCCGATGACTTAAGACGATACCAACCCCTCCTCGTCCTGCCGCAGCAGCCTCTGCATCGTCAGAGGTTCGTAGCTGAAAGCAAGTGGAGAGTGATGGGGCGGTTAGCTCAGTTACTGTTCCTAAGACACAGCATACACCAGTTCCTAGCGATTCCAGTGTGAGAGGAAGAGCAGCGCTTCTTGACCTGGTTGCGGACATTGAAGGCGGCCAAATAGATTGGGTATCGAGGCCTGAATATTGATTTCGAGATGACTGAGGATATCGGCGCCGATGACGCGCAGATGCTGCTTGCAAAACCATTGCAGGACGAACGGAGTCATCAGTCGAGTTGGGCCTACATGAATAGAGTTACACATGGGGTGAGGAGAGCAGAAGGAAAAAGTATGTGAAAGAGAAAGAGAGGAGATATCAGAAGCAGCATGTTTTCGCTTACCCGCGAAACAAATGGGCACTATGCAAGTGAAATGCAGTGATGAGATTGGAATGGTGCCCTAGAGTAAGTGTAAATATATGCATCAGCAAGGGGGAAGCGGTCCAAATGTCTCATGGCATGACAAAGCACGAGAGCTATTGCTAGTTGTCAGTGGAAGTGCACGTCATGCGTATTCCACGCACCTGATCAGCTTTGCCCAGCACAGTCCAGGTGCTAGCAACAATTCCAATCACCCTTTCAAGTGAATGGGAACCATTGCTCAAGTAATTATGGTCTTGAGATCAGATAACACCACAACAAAAACAGGCCCAGCTTTGTTGCCAGGATGCGATGTAAACCATTCCGGGATTGATCGTACTGCCTGAGCAAGGTAACTAGGGGGCATTGGAGTTCGAAACTATAACTGACGCCTCGTATAATGCAAGTAAAATCCGATGAACCACTCACCTGATTCAAAATATCCTTATTACCAGTCAACAGCTGTGCCACACTTCTCCCGTGGTTGCCGTTGGAAGGTCCTGAACGCAACTGCGGTACAGCATCACGAAGTGTTTTATCTGTCTCGCGTAACGCCCGTCGAAGCTGTAATCCGCTTAAATGAAACTGTCCAGAACGGTGGTGCACAAGAGCAAGGTTGTTCCAGACCAGACTGCTCTCACAATGACCAGTCTCTGAAGGAGCTTGAGCTGGAGGCGGTATGTTCGAAAGACGCCGAAAAGCATCGGAATGAATGTTCTGAAGGGCATCAAAATGTCCAGGAGGACAAACAAGATATTACTGCAAAACGGCCGAACAAAAGGTAGTCATAGGAAAATTAACAGTAATATTTTCTAGCATTACTGAAGATTCAGCATAAGTTGCGATGCACTGACACAGGTTACGAATTTCCCGTAAAACTGCTCGTTTCACTTTCAAAGTCTAGTTACTTGACGTGCCTGGATGACATTAGGTTGCCGGACATCGCCTCCGTGATATACTTTACGCGCTCGAGATGAAAAGTTATGCCACAGTGTTGCTTTGGTATACCTTAAGCCTTGTTGAATCTCTAAAATTAATAACTGTCACTTTCGATGACAGAGTATAGAACACCGAAGTGCGATTTCGCCCTGTTGTGTGGAAAGGAAAAGCTGGCAATTAGGACACAAATAAGGTGACCAGCGACCACTAATTTCTGTCCATTATAAGATAGGAATAACGTTTAACCAGTTATGAAGTAGGTCAAGTTTTTGGGAAAAGTTCTACTGCACACTCGTTAGTTTGCCATTATTTGGACATAAATCGTTCGTATTTTACTCATTCTCTAAAAAACACGGTCTCTTATCGTTTCGTGAATTTTGAAAGGGAAGAAGAGACTAAGTGGGAAAAATGGTGTGGCAACGACCTACCCAAAAGTCTTCGTTATGTGGCTTCATATTGTCTACCAAACAACCGCCAACATGCCAAGATCATGAAGCTAGTGATGCTTCCGTACTAGCTCGAATGCTAAATATAAGTTCATATTCAACTGAATGATACAGAGATGGAGCAGAGGCTACAGGATGCCGACGGTTCTCACCAACTTTACGTCACAAAAAGGAATAAATAGCAATAAAATGATAAAACTGGACTAATCGTATCGCGGGAAAATCTGGTCCGGTTCTTAAGCTGATGGCTCGCGTCAAAGTCTCTTGTGCATACAGACCGATTTCGTATTGATTTATCAACGTTGTCTCCAGTTAACATTGCAAAGTAAGATTCTAAGAACTAATCAGCTCTATGTCCAGTGGATAATATGTCTTTAGCGGGCGATGACGCGGGTTCTCGAGTTTCAGTTTTTAGGCAATCGACCTTGGTTAGCCACCTGATTCAAATAAAGAGGCAAGTTTTCCGAGACGCACTCGCATAAGCTCCTATCTATTATATCAACGAGTATTGCACCACAACTGTATGTAAGTAGGTAGGCAATGCGTGGGACAGAAATCTGGTACAATACTCAGCGCGCATTGGAGATTGACTCCTCACACTGATGATAGTAGGGTTTGTTGGGTGCTTAAGAAATCAAGTAATTTATGCCATGTGGGTTTGGTTTGGTAGCCTTCCTTAAACTTCAGCTTGATGAAAACCTCTGCCTTTTCTGCTGAGCAGTCAGGCTCCCGTTTAGGCTGCTACGTGTTGTGAACGTTGATAGGCTCCTCTGGATAGCCGTTAGAAGCCCGCGTCCTAAAAAGAATCGAGAATATAAATGCGTCTGACACAGTCGAGCAGAGTGCGCAGCGAGATTCTCTTGTGAGCTAAAGGGGTAACTTGTAGGTGTTGTCATACATGGGAGGCTCAAAAGTGCTACCTGGTTGTCTGACAGTCAGACTTTTACCAATTTCTGCATCATGAGATACCGAAAGGTTTGAATATACTTGTGTATACGATTGTATAGGATTATTACAGGCACAGTCTACGAAAAGTACAAGGTCGTCCACATCGCGTTTTTGTGCGATATATGGCCGGCGATATGACTGGCTTTGTTCAGCTGTTTTATTGTTTACTACTATTTATAATGTAAAATTGATGATTTTGTTGTTGAAGCGGAAGTAAAAACGAAATATTGACATTCCAAAGGATAAGACGAACCCAATATTTCGAATTTATACTGGTTATGTCACTAGCATCTTTAAGCTAGCAGTTTTTCACCTCTGTGTGTTTGTCGCTATGATCAGACTGAAAAAAGGGACTGCAACCCGGTCGCATCCCACACCTATCTGAGTTGTCACTCACCGTGTGGCTGGACTGAAGGTACAATATTCACGGCGGAACCGCGCGTTTTAATGTCACATCCCGTTAATGCTATCTACCCAATGGAAACAAGGAACACAAGACCTACGCATTCACGCGCATTTTGAGTGGGGTAGCCTGCGCGAGAGTTGGTGCGGGTGGCAACAATGCTAATGGTCACCCTCTGGTAGATAAAACTTGGAAATGAAACCCCATCGACGAAGCGGAAACGGTCTGGTGCATTTTTCAGTTCACATGAATATGAACTGGATGTGACCTTGCAAAGGGATGACCGCATTATTATCCAGAGAAATTAGATGATGGCAGTGAAGATCCTTTACTGTTTCGAACGAGAGCCGTAGACCACAGCGTCCCGAAAGTGAGGCTAGAAGCTTAGCGGCGTTCTTCAAAGAAAGCAACCGCTCTGTCATCATTGTGAGCAATCCCACAAACTGTCTCAAATCATAGCATGAATAACAGAGGGATACCGTTCATCTACCATAGATGAACAAAATGAGAACACAAAATTGGGATAAAGTTTGTGACCCAAGGCTTCGCAGTCAGCAATATTTTCGGCTGTACAGAAATTATGGAGTAAATTGCAGGTTTGTCATCAGCTGGTTAGTATTTAGATTATTGGTCTCGGTAAAAAACGATACTTGAGTCTACGAACAATCCACAAGGACCCGGATCAATAAGCTTATTCGACATCAGCTACTGGTCCGGATAATGCAATACAATAAGCTCACACATACGCCGCGACGGCACACGTGAAATAGGGTAACACCGTAGGAAAATCGAATTCAAATGGGTAAAACCAACCTTGAGGTAGGCCAATTGTGCCTGAAGGAACTGGAGACAGTGGCCCGTAGTCCAGTTGAAAGCCGCGGAAGTTTTAGCGGAGTCATGCTGATTCCCAGCTCCTTCGGACTGACTGACTTCAGTCGACTCAGTCTGGGTCGTGACTGTGGATTCCTTCAAACAAACTTCTTCGGGTGCACTGTTCGCGACCCCTTCCTCATCAGACTGAAGCATTTTCAGTTCTTCTTCAGCAGCAACTAGTCGTCCTGTCAGAAGACATGCTCGAATGTAAAACAGCTGGATGGGTTTGTGTATGGCCTTCAACATATCCCAGACGAGTGTGGTATCGATTCGGTTGCTAGCAGAGGTTCGCTTGCTCGTTGACAGACTAGTAGCACTCACAGAGAGAAATGAGAAGGATGAGAGTGCAACCAGCCATGCGCCTGGGCACAGAGAAGGAGAAAAACGATACTCAAATCTGATGCAGAAAAATAAGAACGGATCTAGGATAAAATGGAAGTAAGTTCCGTGGTAAACCTGATGTTATTGGCAAAATCGGGTCCACAAAGGCTTAAAGAGAAGCTACGTTTACGTGACCTAAACGTCACCTAGGGCTAGTTTAGCGGAACTAAGAAATCACAGTTAATCTAACTAAAAGTGACTTGGTGAAATCTTCAAGCAACCTCTAACTTGGGAAACGGCATAAAAGCCGCTAACCATCAAGGCAGGACCATCCTTCACAAACCTATAGGGGAGCGAAGAAATAGAAAGCTTGTTGCCCATTATCAAGTGCATTGTTAAAAATTCTCCGACAAAGCATCTATTACGGAAAGTCTTTGAGTATGGGGGTGACAGTTAATCCGCTGATCAACCGTGCAGTACGAAAATGCCTTCCAGCAAATAGTACATCTAAAACATCAGCTTTCGACATGATAAGATAAGTTCCGTGCAGAAAGTTTGAATGATCAATGTACGACTATATCCAATGGACCCACTCAACCGCGTATTGGTGATGCCTCCTCGACTGGTGACAAAACGTTTGCAGTCCGACTACCAGTTTCAGCGAATAAATCAGCAACCAAAAAATTGTAGATTACAATAGCTGGAGTCACCGGCACGAGGAGACTAGACCTTACTGTGGTGTGACGGTTTGTGTACCTCTGCCATAATCAGGGGTGTCTGCGCGACACTCGCAGAGTTCGTCACGCCAGGGTTGTCTGAAGAACAGTCTGCTGGCCCTCCAGGTTAGAGGCTGGAACATGAGTGCCGACATTTTCCGTAAAAACGCCAATGCACGTGCATTTCACGCCAAATACCACTGCCTTGCGGTCAGGCTTTTGAGCCTACCCCATTAATAACTCTATCCTTGAAGGACTGATGACTCCGTTCGTTCGGCAATGGTTTTGAAAGCAACATCTGCGCGTCATCCGGCGCTGATATTCTCATACATCTCGAAATCAATCTTCAAGCCTCGACGGCCAGTCTGCCTGGCCGCTTTCAACGTCCACAGTATGAAGCAAGTAGGTCAACAAGCTGCTCTTGCTCTCACAATGCACTCGCTTAGCATTGATGTGTGCTTTCTTAGAAACAAGAATTGAAGATGCAAGCAGAGTGGTTGAGCTAGAAGCCCCATCATTCTCCACTCGCTTCCAGCTACGCACATCTGACGATCCAGAGGCTTCTGTGGCCGGATGTGCAGGGGTGGGTACTGTCCTAAATCAATAAACTTAATTCAATTCATCAGCTATAAACCACGTACCATAGGCACATTCCTTCCAGCTGATCCAGTTTCGATCGTCAGAAAGTGGGAGCGTGCGGGAGATACCACCAAGCCCTGGAGATGACGGCAAGTTAGTTCGGGAATCGGGTAGCTACGCATTTTAGGCGATAGCTTTCATGCACGAACGCTACCGACTGCGCGCTTGCGCCATTTCCGAGATTAACCATAGGTGAGATGAGTCCCGGGGTCCCTATCGAACAAGCAGCAGTTGTCGGCTCGATTAAGCTTACTGGTCAGTGTTTACAAACTTTGTTGTCAGGTATTACTGTCCACGTTTTGGTCGCTTCCATTCAGCAGAGGGCTGGGTGAAAAGAACTCTGCGAGGTAGACGTTCTTCTGGTATGCGGTATACATGACCAAATCAGCGTAACCTATGAACCATGAGTAGTTCACCTATCGTGAGAAAGTTCTTTCTTCCTAAGACCATCCAGAGTACTTCAGAATTACTAATCTGATGTTCCAACCAGACCTGACCAATGCATCAAATACATCGACGGCCCAACACTAACATCTTCCGTGTGTCCTCTGCGCATAGAGTCCACGTTTCTGATCGATAAAACAGTATGGATCACACAGCCGCAGTGCAAGCTCTGTCATCGACGGACGAACAGACGTCACTTCGGTACCATATGTGTCGGAGGTCGGCAAAATCTGTCCTGGCCTACCCGATTCGAGAAGTAACCTCATCTCCAGTCAGTCCATCGGAAGTTATACAACCGTTAATTTGTTGGAATATTGGTAGCTCGGGTGTATTAGTTGGTAATTGATCAGGTGGCTGTTGATCTGTTTGCCGAGCTTTGCAATTGATTTGCAAACGCAGACACGAAGAGAGGGACCATCCAAACCACAGTGAACTGAAGATGTCTCCTCGCATGGTGACGAACCGTTTGCAAATCAATTGCCAAGCTCGGCGAACAGATCAACAGCCACTTTACAACTACCAACTAATGCACCCGATCACTGCCTAGGTAGACAAATTTATTTATCACGTCGATTGATTCGCCTGCAAGCATGAGGTTTGGGTTTGATCCAGTCCCGTCTTGTAACAGCACTTTGCCGCTGCAATGCGCATACGAAACCATGAGTCAGAGTTCTTCAGGTCATCTAAAATCGTTTGCGTTTGGGAAACAATTAAAGCAATATCGTTCGCACACTCAATGTCCGTGAGTCGTGAACATTTCGACTCCCGAGGCTTCAGAGACAAGCTAAAAGCAGATCAATAACAAAGTTGAAAATCAAAGATGAGAGAGGGCAGTTTTGTCTCACATCACTGGACGTGGTGAATTCAGGTGAAACCTTGCCGTATGCTCGTACGTGCCCTTATAAAGGGTATAAATTTGGAAGGGACAGATTTGATCGCCAGACACTGCAGAGTTCCTGACGACCAACAAAATCAAAATCAGCTTTCAGATCAAGAGAAAAGACCAACGTGGGACGTTGGAAGGAGTGATGCTGTTCAAGAAATCGTCTCATGGTTGATGCATCCTCCGTCAGGACGAAACCCAGCTTGATTCTTACGAATCTGTCTCTCCCGACCATCGAGAATAACCTGCATAAAATAATGACAAACAGCACGTTAGGTGCGACAGATACCAGGCTGATACCATGAAGGTTTTCACATGACGTTCTTTCGCCATTTTTTTTGAAAACTGAGCTGGTGCTCGGGGAGCTCGAATCGACTGGGATTCTGTTTCCGTTCCAAATCTTCCGCAATATGGTTGTCTTAAGTCATCGGGCGGAAAGATCCCTGCCTGACTGTCTGGTTTCATCCTTCGAAGATTGACTGAATGCAGGGAGGCAAATCCGAGAAAATTAGGCTGGATTTCGTCTCACAAGAGGATGCATCAGTCATATATGCACACCCCAAGAGATTTTGGAACAGCTACACTGCTTCCAGAAATCTTCCTTGAATTGAAAGGTGTCGTTGGCTGTGTGGACCGTCAGGCATTATGACAGTGTCTATGGAACAAAAGTGTCTCCCATAATTTCTTGACCCGCCTTGAGGCGCCATGCATACTCCATAAGAGACATGGTCTACGTTCACTGAATCAAGCGGCGTCATACAATGCTGTCCGCTTTCACTGTTCCTCTACAAATTCATCATTCATATGACTACGCCTCTAAATCCTGTGTGATCAAAAGGTTCTAAGGGCATTCGCTCACAGATATAGAGTACGCAGAAAACATAGCGCTTCTTGGATACAAAGCCACTGTAATGCAGACAGTATCAAATAATTCAAATAATGCTTCCCCACGATTTGGCATGCACTCCAGCTCTGCAAAGTGTACAGTGCTGTTGCGACACTGGATGGCCGGAACCTTATCCTCGTTCTCACGGATGAGTCGGTTGAGGTAGCTGAGATGTTTAGAATGTGTCCGAGAACGAGACGATTTGGCCTCCAGCTCTGCAAAGTGTACAGTGCTGTTGCGACACTGGATGGCCGGAACCTTATCCTCGTTCTCACGGATGAGTCGGTTCGGTTGGCTGAGATGTTTAGAATGTGTCCGAGAACGAGCTAGAACGAGCACTCGGGACAAGTTAACAAAACCGTTTTGCTGTCAGATTTCTAGATGAGTTCAATTCGTCGATAGGCACAACGGAGCTAAATGTAGTCTTCCAACTCAAATAAATATTGTTTGTAACCACTCTGTAACCGCTATGAAGCAATCCTAACTCAAAACATGTCACACGAATCCGACTTTCTTAGCGGCTAACAGTCAAGTAAAACATGACGCCGAAGAGCATCCTGTAAGTTGGTCATAGAACAATGCCAAACAACTCACGAACCATATCCCCATGGGCTGAAAGATAAAATAAATAACCAAGTCCTCTGCACTCTACTGAGTGTGCAGCGTGCAAGTCATCTGAGTCTGTTGTGCTGTTGCCAGATTTAAGAAGCTAACATCCCAAACCGTCTATCGTTCGGCTGTAGCACTCCTTCGGTGCCTAGCTGCCATGCCACACGGAGGAAGCACGAGGGCTGGGATACTGTCAGGTCGCCCAAGCCTAGACAGGCGAAGTCGAGAGGCAGAGGTCGGGTTCGAACCACGGACCATCTGGTCAGTAAATTCGCGCTCTAACCACTTTGTCCATTTCGCCCAAACCGTCTATGGTGGCTGCTAACCGATTCAACCAAAATTTACCCAGCTAGTAAAAAACATGAAGTCTAATAAAATAAGAACTTACCACAGAGTTCAAATACTCGTTCCGCTTTTTGTAAGTGAAGGAGAACCTCTAGCCACAAAAGCAATATTCGGCGACAAATAGTTGGGTTGCCACAAGGAGTCAAGTCAACCGGAGGTAACAGTGGGCCAAGATGCTTAGAAATGTGATCTAAATGGAAAGCAATCAGAAGCATTTTACGGCAACATACCAGACGATTTTGAACTGGCTTTGAGACATGCTGACAGAATATGTTCGGACTGTTCATACTGACGCTGGTAATATAGTACTAAGGCATAGTTGTACTGCAGAGCGAAGGTGCTCTCATTCTGGGAAAGATTAGACTGAGTGCAAGTGGTGCTCATCGAAGAGTCAATCTCAGCAGAATCTCCACATGAGGTATAGTTGGGAAGTTGCAAACCGTCATTTTCAGCTATTCGTCTCAATTCGTTGAGAAATTCTTCTGTATTTGTACATCCATTTTTGTGGACAAAGTCATCCAAGAGCTTGTTCATATGTCTAGATAAAAGAGAGGATAATCCGTAGAGATGGTTGTGAGCTAACGGAAAAGGAAATAAACGCATTGAGACGCGCATAATGACAAAATATTGCCTACCAGAAAACATGATTGGTAACTGGACCGAACTAAGCAAACCCAGATAACACCGAAAGGAAACAGGCTGGTACAGTCTAGCTCGAAAGCATCTAACTGAATGCAATGAGGAGAGGATCATACTACGTTGCATTTGGGAAAGCAGTAATACGTCAGTAACGATCTAACTCCAAAAACCTCATGCGGTTGGGCTTTCCGGGAGCGGACTCTACTTTAATTCCTTACGCTACATAGAGTCAGAGGCACAAAATAGGGTCCCCGAACAAAACCTTACATTCTCCCAACGTATTGCGGGTCAGACTTTTAATTTAAAGGCAGTGGGGTACCTCACTCAAAAGCCCTTCTTCTGTCTTGGTAATCGAGAAGTATTATTCATCATTGCAGCTCTTCGCTCACTGGTCATCCAACACACTCACTCTCTACCCACCGAAGGATGCACTGTGGTCACTCCAACTGTTCGCCCAAACCGTCTATGGTGGCTGCTAACCGATTCAACCAAAATTTACCCAGCTAGTAAAAAACATGAAGTCTAATAAAATAAGAACTTACCACAGAGTTCAAATACTCGTTCCGCTTTTTGTAAGTGAAGGAGAACCTCTAGCCACAAAAGCAATATTCGGCGACAAATAGTTGGGTTGCCACAAGGAGTCAAGTCAACCGGAGGTAACAGTGGGCCAAGATGCTTAGAAATGTGATCTAAATGGAAAGCAATCAGAA